TTTTAATCCCCTTGAGTCCTTGAGGGGCATATAATCAGTACGGCCTGTCTGGTCAGTGGACGTGTAGCAAGCTTCATCTCGCTCTTCGTGTAATCCTGAATCAAAGGAGGATCTCTCACCATCAAGAATTGTTTCGGAGATGATCACCTCCCTACCATCTGCATTAGATGCACTTGCCTGTCTTTCGGGTACTTCCTCAACAATCTCCAGTTCTTCTTGACCGTCATCGTCATTCAGTTGTTCGACTACGGGCGATTCAATTCTGCGCCGGGGCCTGAAAAGAGCAGCGCACGCAATAGAATTGGCCATAATTGCCGAGATGATGAGAAGAGTTCCTCTCCAGCCGTAGCGGTCTAAGAGGAGTTGAAAAATTGGAGGCGCAACCATGATTCCTGTGCCTATTCCGGAGAAGGCCACCGCATTGGCCGTCTTGTACTTCTTGTCGAAGTGCATAGCTACTGCAACCATCCCAAAGTTGTACGAAATCCCGACCCCAAAACCTAAATCAGTTCAGAAAAAAGGCAGAAACAAATAGCTTCTTGATTAAAATCCAAAAGTCTACCATGAAACTGTGTACTTTTTGCAAGCGGAAACCCTTATTCATTTATTTTGTTCATGTGTTTAAACTCTCTTTTTGGTCCGCAGTAGCCTCTTTGATCAAGGCAAAGACCAATTATCGTATCAACTTAGACAATGAAGCATTTTTGTTTGGTGGAGCTGATTTTGAAGATAAAGTCGTAAACCTAATTTTATTAATTTGCCGCTTTCAAATCTGTAAAATTAAATGAGCGAGAAAGTGCCTTCCCTTCCTGTTCTCCAAAAAGACCTAAAGAAACACTTTTCTGCCGACAGATATATTTCTATGTGCAACAATAACGTCGGGTTATTCTATCGTAAATGGGATTTGTTCTTGGGCATAAATACCAGGAAACGGGGAAGGGGCATTTAATCATCCTCCACTTTTTATGGTGAGCCAAAATTAAAGCAGATTGTGAGGAATTTTTTAGACTTCCAACGACTAAAATGCACTCAGTATTACTAAAAAAGGGAAAGCAATAAAGCCATAAATATGCCATTCTGAATACATATTACAGATGTACGTCAATATCACGACCTTAACATGGAGTCACATGGTGTCACTCATCCCCCTCGTCACCTTTTCCTGTCCCCCACGCCCCGTATTTTCAGCACAAATTTACGCCTCTGCTAGCGTGGTATTCATAATGCATGCTTTTACTCGAGATTCCGACAGCATTTCGAAGTTATACCGTAATTATGTGCGACAATACCAATGTAGTTCAGTTGCCGGAACGTTCATCATTCTGTGAGCGCTAATCATACTTTGCAGCTGGCTGTGCATTACCTATAATGAAAAATGTGACGTAGAGGTGAAGTACGCTTTTCGCCCAGAAGCTGCAGAAAAGACCCAAAGATGACAGAACTCCACCGGTTATTCCTGCAATTCTGCAGCCGAAGCGTTTGCATAAGATTGCACCCACGAGGCCTGGTTAGGGACAAGAAAACACGAATGAATGCCAGGATTTTAAACTATTTTAGTGATTAAGGTGGAAAACTTGCCGTAGCATCATGCAAGGATACGACCTCTTTGTGAGTCTGTATGGTCTGTATCATGCAAGGATACGATCTCTTTGTGAGTCTGTATCATGCAAGGATACGATCTCTTTGTGAGTCTGTATGGTTCTGAAAAGAACCGTGAGTCTTTTCAGAACCATACAGACTCACAAAGAGATCGTATCCTTGCATGGTGCTCTTTTCAGAACCATACAGACTCACAAAGAGATGGCATCCTTGCATGGTGCTCTTTTCAGAACCATACAGACTCACAAAGAGATCGTATCCTTGCA